TTATCATATTTTATATTTAAATTAATTTATTATTTGTTTTAAAAAAAATCTTTATTTTATGAAATTAAAAAAATATTATAAAAAAAATAAATAATTAAAAAAATATTTTTAAATAAAAAAAAAGATTTTATAATTATAAAATTTTTAAAAAAATTTATTTCTTAAATAATAATTAAACTTATATAAGAAAGTATTAAAATCTTATCATCAATAGATTTTTTATATTGTTAATTTTTAATACTAATTAATTAAATGATTTAAATCTGATTTGATTATCAAAGACATTATTATATAAATAATCAATATTTTCTTTATCTGAAATTATATAATTTTTTAAAATGGCTTCTGTTAACTCTTACATTATTATTAAAAGATATAATATGAATTAACTTATCACTTATTTATGAGAAAAAAACTTAGGATTAAATAAAGTTGAATTTAAAATTTTTTGTGATGAAAGAATTACTAGTTATACCTTTTTTAGGTTAACTAATTTATTGCTTAAAGAAATTGGCATTCTGATAGAACTAAGAGTGTTACTTCTTGAGCTAATTAATAATTTAAACAATCAAAGTAGATTCTAGTTTATTGTTTATATGTTTTTTACTATTACTATTATTTTATATTAATCTGTACTGTATAATTATTAAATTAAATACTTAATCTCTTACCTCTCTTTCCTAATCAAATATTACCTCTAAGACACAATATCATTATTGTAGAATAGGATAAGGGTAAGTATCATGATTTTATTCAAATATAACAAACCTATAGATATCAATTCATTTTTTAATTTATATCTTATTATTATTTCTACATAAACTAACACTTAGTAAATCTAAATAAATTTTGAAAAAATTTAAAGAATGCAAAAATTACTAAACCTAAAATTTTTTCCAGTTTCCTAAAATACACATTTTTTTAGGAGAATCATTAGAACCAATCACTATATACATTTGTAGATGCTACTGAGATCTACTGATATTACTTTTAATAGAAAAATACAAAAATTGTGTATCACTAGAAATCTCAGTATTAAAAAAAATATTATTCAGCTATTATTTGCTTTATCTACTTGCAAAAGAAAAGAAAATAATTATATATGACAATAATGCTACAGATGATTGGATTGTTTTTAATAAAAAAGAAGTCTTTTATATTGACGATAAATCTATTATTAAATAATACTAAAGTAATCTTGAAGTTTGGTATATCATAAAAGGCAAAGAACCAAAGAGAGTTAATACAAAAACAATTCTTGTCTGTTCATCTAGGAAAGATCATTATAGAAACTTTAATAAGTATATTGAGATGATAATATAGTATATGCCTGTTTGAAAATGGAAAGAAATCAATATATGTAAAAATAAAATCTTCAATAATCTTAAGAAAAATATAGTTAAAGGATTATTTTTTTAATAGAAAGGAATTCCTCAGTTCATCTTAGAGAAGGTTTATGATAAATCTTAGCAAAAGTCATTCTAAAATGCAATTGATACATGTGATAAAAAATTACTGAATTATATTAGAGAAAGTGATTATGTAAGTAACATGAGTTATAAGTTTTTTCATATCTATACTAATATTTCTATCGATGATATCAAAGACAAAAATGATAAAGACGTTAAAAATGGTAAAGATATCAAAGACAATAAGAAAATTAAAGTGACAGGTATAGGCTATGAAAATAATAAAGTTCTTATACGCAAATAATTATAAAATATGTGTCCTATTATATCTCTGAACTAATGACTAAGATACTTCAAGATGTTTAAATAAATAAATTACGCAATGAACTAAATGCAAGCTTATCAGATAGCATAAGTAATCTACTTTTGGATAACACTTTTGAACAGTTTTCTCACTGGAATCTATGAAATAGAGGAAATTTTAAGGTTTATCTTTTAAACTATATATCTATTATATCAACTTTCTTTTACATTCAGATGCTTAAATAGGATAAGAAGCTTATATCTTTTACAATTGATACTATCAAAAACAGCAAGTATTGTTAACTAATAAATCAAAATTTTGAGTCGATAGATGCAATTATTACATCTG